GGGGGGAGAGGGGGCGAGGAGGGGTACGGGGGGTCCCTGCGGGCCCCCCCGCCGTGCCGCGCTCTGAAGTTGTCCTCTTAAAGCCGAGCGGGTGTTCCTGTAGTAAACTAACTACCATTCAGCTCTCTTTGGGTTTTTTTAACTTCATAATAGGTGCTCTCAGTCCCGAAGGTGTTTTAAAAGTTACAAAATAGCATTTTAGCTATTTTTTTCAGAGAGCAAGAGGGGTTTTTTTCTTACGTACCTCAAACTGGCAGCACGCTTCCTAGTACTGTGGCTCACAAACAGCTCTAACCTTTGCGCTCTTCTGACAGATTACATTTTAAACAATGCCTTTTGGGCACGTATGTGACTATGCAAGTGTCTCTAATATTGAAGTATTTGTATTTTGAGGTGTGACTAAGTGGCAATACTGCAGAATGATCCATGAAGAAGCACATTTTTGTCTCAAATTCTGCTAAACCAAATCCACCAAGGATCTGGTCCACTTTGAGCAGTATAGTGGAAGACTTTAGGCTTAAAAATTTCCACTCTGCACTTCCACTTGGTTGGTTAGAATATGAGCTTTTGTACTCTTTGAAACTGGAGACTCATATTACCTGAATCTGTTCGGACCTTAATTTTAGTAAAGAGGAAATTACAGCTTTGCTTTTATCTAGATGCATTATTTCATTAACCTTCTGTATTTTTCTATTACTACTAACTGATACCTGGTTTTACAGAGGAAATGAAATCATTACAGCAGAACTATTTCTAAATTAAAGCTTGATTTGCAATCCCATTTTTAAAAATGAGAAAGTTCATTCTCCCCTTTAATGTGGAGTGGGTAATAGCTTTTTTTTAAAAAAAACAGGATAGTGAAATTGCTGATGAGATTGTGATAGCAATCAACTATAAAAAGCATCATGTTTTCAGTCCTCATAATTTTAAATATATCTTCAAAATGGCTTATTGTGTGCAACAGATGAAATATTTCTGGAAAGGTGAAATTAGATAAAGTTTGAAAAGTCAGTTCAGTTTGAGGAAACAGGAAACCTGGGCTGTATAGTATAGAAAATGAATTTTCACAGTGTCTTACGAAAGTATTATGACACTGTCCAAAAGTTCACCTAACTAGAAAACATAGTAAACACTGAAGGAAACATTTTTGGGGGTGTATTTGTGTAACTAAAGGGCAAAAAGGTTATATTTGTTGATGTTTAGAAGTAATCCTTTTTGTGTGGTTTTTTTTTTTTTCCTTAGTGCTCTCTTTTGCTTCTGCTTTTTAAAAACAGAAAATGTCTGAAGTTAAGCAGAGGAAGAAAGCCATTTCTTTATCCAAGACCAATGAAGGCTCAGAAAAGGTTGAGAAGCATAGCAATTGCGGGAGGCTGGCAAGTCCCAGGACTAGCAATAATGGGAGTTCCTTTTGGATGGACTCACGGACAAGCTTCAGCATAATTTCCCTTGCTGTTTGCCTGGTGCTGACCTGGTAGGTAACCCTCTAAAGTGGATTTTAATATTTTCTTTTGTATTCTATACTGTATTTGGTCATGGGCAGTATGATTAGTTACATTTGAATATAGTGTTTAGGTTAAGTGACTATAGAAACTCGTTAAAGCTAGAAGGACCAAGAAAAGAATAGCAGTCTCCCCAAGTGTGGAAACATTGGTATACAGTGAGGGATTATAGAAGCTCGATCTGTTCTATCACGTTGAAAGTTTAAAAGGTGCCTTGGTCATGAATTGTAAATACCTGCTTTGGAGAGTACAGCTAACTGAAGAGCAACTTAGTCTGACACTAAGTACAACAGGGCTCATTTGGCAGGTAATAAATAATTCAACAGTAGAAGTGAAGTAGAGTTTTCTGTAAATAATTTGCTCAGCAGTGTGGTACATTGTTCATCAGGTGGAGTCTTCAAGTAAAGGTCAAATATCTTTGTAAAAGATGTTTTAGAATATCTTAGCAGCATCGGCACCTTAGTTCCATCAGAAACCTAGCTGCATGCAGAAATAATATGATCAAATTCTCAGAACTCTGGTGCAAGAAATTAGTCCAGGTTATTACACTCTAGATGTCAATCTGAAAATTAAGGTAAAACTTGTTGTTATGTTAAAATCACCCAGATCTCATTATCCAAATCTTTGAGAAACAGAATGACAGAGAATAAAATGATTAGTGATGCTTCTGCTTACTGTTTTATGTGTATCTGTTTATGTCTGGCTTGCATTTATCTATCTATAGCTAGCATTTTAGCTTTTACTGCCCAGCTTAATCTGTATAGAGTATTGTAGATTTTTTTGAAACTCGTAGTTGCTATTCAATATACTAATAAATATCAATTTATGAAAGCACAAGTATTTTAAATAAACTTTGTTCTAGATAAAATTGTTTTTACTACTGAGAGGACCCCTGCATAGTCTACAATAAACCTTGTTTTGGGATTAATAAACATCCAGAAAAATTCGAGGTTTTTTGCTTTGTTGTCTCCTTTCCTTTTTAACTGGGCAAAGTGCTTACAGTTCAGAAAGCTCCCAAGTTCGCAGTAAATGAGTCTGGAACGTATATAAAGTACAGGATTGAGATCTTTACTGTCTTGTTCAAAGCTAGCATTGTAGATAGCAGTAGATAATACAAGGTTTGCCCCAACGCACCATATGGTCTTGGATGGTTACAATTAAACAACATCAGAGTTCACCAGCCTTTCTAAGTCCAAGGCTTCTATGCATGATTTTGTGATGCTTTGCAAGAAAGTCCAAATTATTTTTTTATTTCCACTGGTTAAATAATATTATCAATAAGGTAAGATCATGAGGCAACGCATTACGAGCATGCAATGGCCTCCCTCTGTCAGCAGTCTTATCAGATATTTTTTCCTGTTTGAGTGGCATACAATGTAAAAACAAACCACATCTACGGATGTTTCCTTATTTTTCTAGCTCTGTTGGAAGATAACTCCAGTATGAAGACAGATCAACTTCATTTTTTTTTTCCTCTCTCCTGTATTGATCTAGCAAATTCTGTGAACACAAATCCCTGTGGTAACAGATTGCTGTGAATCAGGTCCTGGAACACTTAATATATGCTAATTATATATATGTAGGTGCTAATTATATTTATTATTTATTCCAATTTGCAGGTTCTTATTTCAGCAATCGGGTCAATTTGCTGATATGGAAAAAAAGTACAACTTCTTACAGCAAGAAGCTGAAAAATTCCTGGATGTGGAAAATAAAGTTAACTTAATTTCTGAAAAGGTAATCATTAACATCTTAATTGAATAATCTCTGCTGAACATTTGCTGTTGTTTTACTTTGTTGTCATTGAGTTAAGACTGCTTTAAAATAAATTTTCATAATGTGTTCTACTTGCCTGTGAATTGGCCTTTTGGAGAATATTTCATGTGACTAAACGTGTCAATCCATACCATTGTTCCAGTATGTGAATACAGTGGCTGTATCGCAGTATTTTTTAGACACTAAACTATTTTTAAAAACTTACATTTATGCACATACTACTTTCTACCAGCACTGTTCTGTGCATAATTCTAATATACATTTGAATAAAATTTACAGGCATTTTTATGTGTAGACCTGTTCTAACAATATGAAGACATAATGAAGTGATAGTAATATTTTTCCATTGCTATTTTATCTTCTTATCTATGTATGACACTATCAAGTAGAAAACATGGGCTGGCTGCCAAATTATCCCCTATATCTTACAGATAGCAATGGGAGTACAGCATGGCTTATGCCAGTTTTAGCACTGATCTAATGATGATATCATTTATATGTGATGTAACTTGGATATTTATATACTACACTTCAGATTGCAAAATGTTGCATGGGAATTACATAGTGTGATATATTTTACAAAAAAAAAACCCAAAACCACCATGGAAAATAAGGGATTGACAACAAAGAAAATGGCATGTATTCTACGAATTTCAACAACACACCCTTTTCTGTGACTTCTTCGTGCTAGATTAATCAACAATATTTTAAAGATGGAATATGAAAGCAAATCACTTAGGAGCTTTGTAACAAGTAAAGTGGCTTCTAAGGGATTTTATTTTCTGTTAAATAAATGCAAATGGTTTTATGTTCTTACTTTCATGAAGTAGACATGGACATTGTTTTGTGTTACAAATGCAGCTTGAATCTTCTGAAAGCATCCTACAAGGAGCTGCCTGGTCCCTCTCTGTGATGACTGAGTTTGAGCAGCAAATATCTTCTCTTCATAACATCATAAATGGTATTCAGAACAATGAACAAACTCTGTCTGTAAAGATGCAGAACATTAATGAGAAGTTCCAAAATGTTACAAATTCCTGGAGAAGAAGCTTGGATGAAATGAACACAAACACTAGTGGTTTAAAATCTGAAGCAAAGTTCATACATACAGAAGTTACTTCCCAAATTAATGAAGCTGACCAAAGACTTAAATCCCTTTCAGAAAGAGTCAGAGATTTGGAAGACAGTACAGCCAGAAATATGAAAACGCTAAAAAGGCAAGAAGATGATGAATTCTCTAGAGTTGAACAAAAGTTGGACTCGCATGCAAAGGCAGTTGAAAAGCTAGATGAAGAACAGAATAGTCTGGTAGCCAAGGACACAGACCTGAATCAGAAACTTGCAAACTATGAACCTAAAATTGAGGAGTGCAAGACCCATTTGCCAACAATTGAAAATGCTATTCACTCTATCCTTAGATTCTCAAGTGAATTACTGAGTATGGAGAAAAAGATAGAGGACTTGACAACACAGCTATATACAGTGGAAAATGATATGTTGAGAACTGTTTCTGATACAATGGCGATGCAAGAGGTTCTTGAAGGCATACAGTACAATGCCAGCATTTTGAAAGCACAAAACGAAATTGTTTTAGAAGTAGTGCATGACATAAAAGTATCTTCAAAAGCAAAAGAAATAACTTTAGAAAGCTATGACTTAGAACATGGCCAGAATGGGGATAAGTGAATTTGGACTTTGGGTTTTCATTGATGAAAGAACATTTTAATTACAAATAATGTGACTCCAATGTATGTTAAGGATAGCTGAAATACTGTCGTTAATTTAAATAGCTGTTGGATCAGACTGAAAGGCAAACTTACAATAAAGAGGCTAGAGAGCAAGAAATATTGTGTTGAAGGAAGAAAGGAGTATTTTCTTAAATTAAGGATTAGTTTCAGCTTATTTATTAAAAGTTCATTTTTACTCAAACAGAACTTGAAGAACTTGAATATTTAGATTTAAGGAAAAAAAGTCAAAACTGGAGACAAGATTGCAATTTATATTTAGTTTTCATTACTTAGTTTTTTATATTGTTACTTTTTGTATTATATATGTAACACAATGAGCAATTAAATTCTTACCTCTAGGCAGATATACATGTATCTTGCTTTTAATGTATCATATACCATAATGTTTTTGTGCTTACAGTACAGACTTTTCAATGTTGGAGTTGTTACTGGGATCTATCTATTTTACTACATGCAGGAAAGCACCAAGTACACTTTTAACAGCTGAAGCCTAGATACAACCGCATTACAGAAAACACTGGTGAAGCACCCCTTACCGGGAACCTTGTCTTGTACAGGGGGTTACATAGCAGCTGGTGTTACCTTTGATTTCTTTGACCCCAGGCAAATAGCTGCCTTAGACCTCATTTCAAGGCTTTGCAAACTGCCTAAAGTCACTGGCATAGCTTTGGTCAGCTGTTGAACTTCAATAGACTGAAGCCTTTCCATCATCCAATTTGCAAGTTTGGTGTGATCAGTCACTGTATTAGCTTGGGGTTTTGTGGGCTGGTTTGTTTTGGTGCTGTTAGAAACCAGTTTTAACCTTTTCTTCTGTAGAATGTACTCTTGTTAGGCATTATATGATGTGCCTGGTGTTGCTTTGCATTTCAAAGGGGTGGGGAAAAAAAAAACAAACCACAACTTACCAGTGTCACTGACAGGGCTTCCCAAAGTTTGGTGAACCAAGAGCTGCAAAAGCAATTAATGAAATCCATGGAGTTATGTATGTGAGGGTAGGGAATATCTAATTTATCCATAAGTCTACTTACACAGGACATAGTAGTACCTAATAGGCCTGACTGATAGCTGTTCATTGAAATATGGATCTCAGGACCACCATAAATTTGTGTCTACATACTTACATCTTGATAATTAAACTCAGGAAAGGAGGTTGCTTAGTAGGCAGCATGAATGCACAACATTTGACTTACATTCATTTAAGCCAGATTGAACAAAACCAGAATAATTTAACTTACCTAGAATTCTACTGAAATCTCTGCTGAACAGTTAATGCTGCTCCTTCAAGAGACTATTAAACCAGCATTTCTTAATGTTATCAAGTCTCTCAGTTTCATGTATTTATTACTTATGCCTGTAAACAGATACAAATCTATACGTATTCAGTAAAAATGTAGTGGATTGCCCTGTCCTGGTGCATAATCAAATTAAAAATAAACTCTTCCAGAAAGGGTATGGAATAAATACTTCAATGTTCCCTTAATACTATTCCATATAGAAATGTTTTTTAAATACTTTTCACAAGTGTAGTCCAGTGTGTTTCTGCTCCATATATTTTGGGGGAAGGCTGACTAAATTACCAGTGGCATGCTCCTCAATTTAATGTCTTTCATCAGCCTTAACACTACTGAAAGCTGCACATACACAAGCTTGAACAGAAAAGCCCTCAACCCTTAGAGGACAGTAACTAAGAAACCAGCACAACTCTCCACAACCTAAATTGTGGTATTTTGTTTTCTAGCCAACAGTTCTGTGCTAGTGAAGAATAACCAACACTATCAAAAAGTTTAAAAAAGTTGTTTCTTTGGTGTTATTTTTACTACTAGTGTCAAGAAAGTGTCAAGAAAGGGATTAGTATGAAACTAATTACAGCCTCTCAGCATGTGTTCTAGCTTGTCCGTTTGGTGGGTTTTTTTCTCTCCAAGTTCTACACTGACTTATTAGGGATTGAACAGGATAGTATCACTCAAATCTTTGCCTTTCTTCCTCTCAAATTTGAAAACCAAGAACCAATCCTTAAAAAGTGAACTAGCAAATTCAGCCAAAAATCCAACAGTAGCACAAGTGTTTGCTCATTAACGTAGCTTTTATGGAGGCAGGCTGTTTAAGTAATGTTTTTCTGTGAAGTATTTTGGCTATTTAAACAAAAGGGAACCAATCCCTACTTTCTTTGGCTTTTTCTTCTGTGAGTGCCATGTTCAAAATACATATTATGATTACCAAAATAAAAACCCAGCAGTTAATTATAGTCCATAATTTTTGGATAAGAGAATTTTAAAGTAGGCATCTTTCTAAAAATGCTTCTGACCATCCTTCTACAGGTGTCTTTCTGGATCACATGGGTTATAGGCTTAACACAAAAACTTCTGTACATCAGAAGATTCCATTTGATGACTTGTGTTTTCACTAGTAATTTTTGTTCCTGTAATTTTTGATGTAATAGACAAAGTAGTAAGATTTGAATTTATGTATACTGAAAGGAAAAAAAATTAAATTTTTGGTTGTGTTGCAACAGAATTTTATTTCCTAAAGACAGGGTTTGCGCTCAGTTTCAATATCAGAATAGTAAGATATTTCATTAGAGTATAGCTTTAATTTTTATGTGAGTTGTTAAACTAGAAATCTTGTCAAATATTTTTATTTTTATCCCTCTAGTGTGAAAAGACTTGGGACTTGATGGAACAGCTAGAAGATCTTCAAGTAATTTCTCACATTAAACATCTGCAGGAAGATATTTATACAATGAAAACACGGTCTAGCAGCATAATTAAAACACAAGAACAACTGCAGAAGAATTTAACAACCCTTTTTCATGCTGTTTCAAGTGTTGAACAGACTGCAGCTTCTGTAGCAAAAAATGTAACTTTAACCATTGTGACAGTGAAAACTGACATAAGGCGCATTTCAGGCCTGGTCTCGGATATGACTGCACTGACAGATTCTTTGCAAACATTGGAAGATAAAGTCGAAAAAGGTGAAAAGAAGACAGTAAAAAATATAGGTGACTTGCTAACCAGTAGCATCGACCGCAGTACAAAACTACAAAGCTCAGCATCCAGTAACGCAAGAAAAATTGAGCAAATTAAAACGGCATTATCTGAGTTAAGGAGCGATTTTAACAAGCATTCGGATAGACTTTTGAATCTTGAAGGTGACAGAGCAAAAGTTCTGAAGACAGTTACATTTGCAAATGATTTAAAACCCAAGATGTACAAACTTAAAAAGGATTTTGCCATCTTGGAGCCATTAATAAATGACCTAACACTGAGAATAGGAAGATTAGTGGAGGATGTATTACGACGGGAGAAGGAAATTGCTTTACTCAATGAGAAACTGGCCAATCTAACGAGTTCAAACTGAGATCAAAGATATGAAATAACCAAGATTTCAGACGTGAATTGATCACTGTGAATTGCCTCTGCCTAAAGAATTGTAGTGTTTGAGTGTGAACTCCATCACGTGTAGTACTAAGACAGTATTTACAGGCTTCATTTAGAAGCACACCAAAACTTAACTAGAGATTTGTCCTCTTCATTTGAAAAGGACAGAAAAAAGTAATCATCATTTCAAGGGACAAGCTATAATGTGAGCAAAAAAAGGTGTGTCTCTGCATGTATTTGTCCTTCAAGGATGACAGATGCTATATTTAATAAATTGCTTGTTTTGTAGAATAAAACAGTGTTAAAGCATAGAACATTGTTTTTACCTTTAAAGTTTGCTTTCATGAAGAAAGCAGGACCCGAGACTGACAGATCTTCACCTTTCCTTTCCTGCTCCCAAGGACCAAATAAAATTGTCGTTTCCAGAGTTAAACAAGAGTTAGTCAAACTGCAGTACCAATTTAGTATTTGTCTCAATATATTCACTCTATGATTTTTGTAAACTGTAATACTTTCCTTTTTTTAAAATACTATTTAAAGAGGTAAATGCAGTGAAACTATGTCCAGAAATATTGCTGATGCCTTGCAAAAATGTTTGTGACACATCAAAAAGGAATAACTTCTGTAAGGTTTTGTGTGAGGCTTTATAATTTTAAATCATGATTACTGTGCCACACTGTTACATCTTTCAAAGACAGAACTCTATGTGGGGACAATGCTTTGGAAGACCTACTAATTGCTTTCTCCCAGTGCCACAGTATTTGTTAAGGAATTCTAACAGCGTTACTCATTCATTATTTCTTAGCCTGTAAAATACTACAGTGAGCAACGGAATTTGCAAAGAGAAGCTACTGAGGTCCCAAAAGGTTAGGGTGATACAAGCCACTGGCAGTATTTTTGTGGTGAAGAGCAGGAGTTTAAGAGATCTGAGACATTTGAAAGTGCAGTAGCTGGTAGACTGAAGTAAGAAGGTAATGGGGATGAGTTTCGCAGAGGAAAGGGGGAAGAGTGCATTAAATAGGAATAAAAATTACTATAAAAGCCAATCAGGAGAGAAAGCAAGCAATTCAGAAAATCCCTAAAATGAAACTATATCAAGAAGTATAAGGATACAGTAAGGCCTTTATAACTTCTCAGTTAACTGGTCATACCTGAGCATCCTGCAGCTACGAGACTCTTGATTGTGTGGAAGATACAACCACTCCTCTCCCTCGCTATTCTCATCCTCATTCACCATTCCATTACCTTCTGGCCTGCTTCATGTTGCTGGTCTTCTGTACCTTGCTTGCTTCATTGCCCTCAGTCAGCCTTCAAATGCTTCATTTCATCAGGTTTTCCTCTTTTTGGTATAGATCCATTCCTACCTCCTGATTTTCACCTCTTTCCAGTCCACCTGACAGACCACAAGACTAAACCTGTCAAAAGACAAGTTTTCCTAGAAACCATCCACAGAGGCTATTGACCAACCAGTGCCCCTTTGCTCTTTCACACAATTCTTAATGCAAGCCCCTGAAAATAACCAAATGGCATTTGAAAGACAGAAAAATTAAACAATATCCAGAATGATCAGCCATTTTGTTTTCAACTTTATGAATGAATCATTTATGGTCAGTAGCCAGTAAAAATCTGGAGAGGCAGAACTGGAGAACCAGCGAAGCACTACCTACACAAGTGAAGTGGAAGATAGCTCCAGCTGCACAGGTCATTGAAGCCTTGACACAGCAAAGAGGTCTTTCTGGATGAAAAGAGCACACTCTCACTTTGGAACAGTAACCAGAAAATAAGCTAGGATAAACAACTGGTGATTTCGCTTTCAACCCCCAAATAACTAACCTCCAAATCTTAGAACACATCTACCAATGAAAAGCTGAGTATACAGTCCTGTTCATGGTCTCCATGGGAAGTCAAGTATGCAAAAAATGTTATAGAACCATTCATTTCACTTCATCTATAGACGCATGCAGACCACCCACCCTTCCTTCCCAGCAAGAGCAGGTCCAAAGCATTATCATCCTTTCAGAAACTTTGTTGCTACAAGCAAGAGAGAAAAAGTTTAAGTCACAGAGATAAAGTTTACTTGGAGAAAAAAAGATTAAAAAAATATGGGTCTGAAGTTTACACACCCACTGTATTGTCCTCAGAAGTAAAGTAAGCGATCAGTAGTTCTCCCATGATCTGCACAGGTATTACAAATCTTCATTCGCCCTTCAAGTGCACACCTCCACTGTACTAAAGAATTAAATAAAAGTTTTAGCGTAGCTTTGTAATTACACTGGTCTAAGACAGAGGGAAAGCTCTTTCTGTGGTGGAAAAGATGAGGCAGAGCGCGAGGTATTTTTCATAAATTTAAAGCAGACTATTAACCTCGCCTCCTTGGTTTAGTACTGTCAGTGGTGGGGAAAGTATCAGCTCTGTAAAACTACAATCCTTACTTAGTTAATTTCTAGGGGCACTCAATGATACACTCTACAACTTTATTAAGCTATTGAGAGATTCAGGTAATAATGAACATTACAGCTATGCTACTTAAAACATACCATCCCATGTAGCCCAACCTGCAGCAATACTCAGGACATCTTTGCTTTTAATGTAGTATGCAGGTATAGAGCTGGCCAATTATATTCTTGCCAGCAGCTCACAAGGAAAAACAAAAAAAACCCACCAAAACAACAGCAAAAACATTAAGTGATCAATGCTGAAAAATGACATGAGCACAGTAACCCCAACACATTAAAATCTACTTTTAGATACCAGAACATCAGCCTAGCCAAGAAGCTTCTGCTACCAACATCCTTCTCCCATATCACTCGGAGTTACAAAAAAATCGTATTCTGTAACGAGGCCATGTAGCTACTAAGCTCAGCTATCCACGGTACTCGTATTTGCTATAAAAAAGCATGATGTTTATTGTTTTCACTGTGAACTACATCATTTCTATGTAGAAATGTGAATGAATTACAACTATTTGTATTATTACAGCCCATTTCAAAATGATATGCAACAAACATTTCAGCAAGTATTGGCACGTTTGATCTACAGTACAACCTGATACAAACAGGATGTGAATGGAGTAGTTACTCCAAATTTACATAGGCAGTATGCTTTAAGCCAGAAAGCTGATCTCGGCTTCAGTAATAGCAAGGAAGGATGTTTTCTCCTTCATAAAACAATGTACACAAGCAGCAGATACATAACCCATGTTTTACAAAGCACTTTGGGGTTTAGTGACCGGTCAGGAGTTATCCAAGTTCAAAACCTTTTTGATACAGGCCTTTTCTGGCAATGAAAGCACAAGTCCATCAAAAGAACTGCCGCTCCCCTGCACCATCTTCTTGACTTTGGGCAAACGTACCACACACAGTAACAAACGTGACCTTTTAAACGTGACCTTTTAAACGTGACATTTTAATACTACAGTTTTTCCCCTGAAGCTTATTTAAAGTATCAGTGGGTGACACTTTAAGCAATAGCATTTTATCTGTTAAACCCCTTTACCTCAAGCATCCAAACAAGCCTATGGCTGAATGTCAATGAAGTCCACAGCTGCAAGGCAATTCTCTCCCCTCTCTCTCGGTTTCCACTGAAACACAACACTAGAAGCAGCACGAACTGCATTTCCTCTCAGTTACAGAAAAACATGGCAACAGCTAGCTGCCCTTGTCGCCTTATCTCAGATTTACCTTCATAAAATTATCTGAGCATCTTTTTTAAGATAGCTTCAGATCTACCCTTGAGCAATGAGAAAATGGATTTAAGATTCTCTTATTACCGCACATATTTAAAATGGCTGCACAAAGGTGACCCAATTCTGGAGAAAAAAAATGCACAATTTTGCTCCACATAGAATGACAAGAAACTGTCTTCAGAAATGTAGCTTATTGCTGGATTACTTGACAATCAGAGTACCTCACTGCAGGAGCCAAGTTGGTCTCTTCTGCCAGCCTTAAAATTTGACAAAAATGTTTCACTTTCCCAGGATTAGAAGGAACTTGAGATGTTTTCCAGCAAACAAAGAAAAGTCTCCTGAGTTAAAACATGCTTTTAAAGAAACTATGATATTCAGTACACAAAAGTGATACTGTTTTTTTTCTAGCAAGTTGAACCACATACAAAAGTTAACTTCAAAAGCTGATTTAACATCAATGGTCCTGATACAAGATCAAGTCACAGTTAATGCTTTTCTCCAAGGAAGCTCTTAGGAGCATTTAATGATTCAGAGCTTCCCACTCACAATGGGGCAACAAGATGTACGTACTTATATCATGAATATATGTAATTCAACAGCAAAGTACTTGTACAAGCATTTTATTTAGACTTAGGGAATTTGACTTTGTTGTATAATGCAGTTAGATACCAACTACTCTAAGAATGTGTTTACTGTCACGGCGACAGGGAAATTGAGCAGTTTTAGAGTTTAGTCCACATTTTGAAAGGCAGCGATTCAACATATGGCCCAGCTTGCTTGTTGAGCATAACCATCCAAAATCTTGGAAGTTGGAGGGTTTTCCCAGGGGACAAGAAGCTCAATTTATATAAAATGGTAGCAGGAATCCTGGACTCCAGTCAGATGCAGCGATCAGCATATTTATGCTACGCCAATGGTGCCTGCTTTAATTGTTCTTTTGACTCTGAAGGACGCAAGTAAAGAGGAGGGGGCAGTACAACACCCCGGAATCCCGAGCCAAGTTCAGTAATCATCAGCTCACAAGCTGAAAGACAGCATATCCAAACAGTTCTGCACAAAAGACACTTAACGCTCCAGCTCTACTAAGCGAACACAGCAGTATCGGATACGGTGAACCCTTTATATACTATTAGGCATTTTCTGAATTTTTCTCAATATGGTTATAACTGTGGGTTCTTGAACGGGCAAAACACAGAAGGCAGCACGCCCATCTTTCTGTAAAAGACTGGAAAAAACAAATTCATTGCCTTAACAAAACACTGAGTGAGTGTCTCCACTTGCATGACTAGGAGCCTAAATTTCTTCATATCAAGTCCAAACAAAATTGGTATGGCTTCTTGCACTGCAGAAGTGCACAGTTCAACTAAAACTCAGCATTAAACTAATTCAGGGGACAAAAAAAAAAAAAACAAACATAAACAAACCCCCAAAACATGCACAACAAAAAAATCAAGCTTCAGGAGTACTAAGTGCAGGGAAAAGCTGGTGAGTTGTCAAACTCTACATTAACAGGCAAGCCATTTATATGTTACTGTAAAGCTGTAGTAAGCTTTTAGTGGTCAGACATCTTTTGAGAATCTTTATTAACATCAGCTTTTCTTTTGTTAAGGTAGCAGCTACTGCTTAATTCCACAGTACAACCAAAAGGACCAAGTTCTTTGGTGTGGTTCAAAGCCAACAGAAGCAGAAGTCAGTCAAGCGAGCATAAGTTAGTTATGTTGGGATGACCACCCCAAAGGAGAAACAACTCTATTATGTGCAAGGTTCCTTTGCTCTCTCTGGAGAACACTGCCATGAAGACCAGGGTACCCTATCCGACTGTAGTCTCATCTCCATCATTCTGGAGTTCAGCTACTCTACGGTAACAGCTTATTATGGGCAAACAGAACAGTGGACTCAAGCGCACAGAACTGCACTTAGTTTCTGCAGTCCTGCAAGGACAGGTTCCCAGCACTTGTCTGGAAACAGTGAAAGTTTTTGTTTGTTTTTTACAATTGTTTCATGATTCTCTAGTTCCTAAAGTGTAGAATAGGTTAATTTTTTTTTTGTAGGGGGAGAGTATTTGAGGTATTTGCTGCTATGAAATGAAACTTACATATGCAGTAGTAAACAGACATTAAGCACTCTGTTTCTCATTTATTTCAGGCAATGACTGGTAGAATTTAAACCCTCATGTGGGATGAGGGCACAGCCAATAACATCATATAGAGTTTGTTTTCTACATAGTCAAATATATAAAAGTTTCGTGAAACTCATCACTGGGACAGCCAGCACAGTCAGTCCATGAGCTGTCTATTCAGTTAGACCAAGCTTCTTCTTCAGAGATTCTGGCATTTCAGGTGGAGGTGGACGAGGAAGTCTGAAATAGACCTTCACAGAATCGTAGATGAACCACTGTAGTGCAGTCAGGGTACCAATCATAATGATACGAGCAAACAGACCTTTCCATACGCCTGTAGAGCAAAACATAAAGCACAAGTAGCATAAGCCAGGAAAAAAAGAAATCCCTCCCCCCAAAACATGACAAATACTTGATCCAAAATACATGAAAGTAAGGGTGTACCTCTGAATCCAAGTCTTACAAGAACCTGTGAAGCAGAACTGCCCTTTTCTTTGTTCAACACAGACACCACCGAGTCAGCAGGATGAGAAACAATTGCACAGAACACACCAGCTGAAAGAATAATTTGACATTAGTTCTGTACCATTACTGTGTATGCTAAGTACAGCCAGCTGAAACCACACCCTCTAATAAATTGCACAGAAGTTATGTGACTATTAGAAAACACTTCGGTTCTGCTCTTGCAGCATCTCTTCTGCTAAAATACTCCTGAGTCTTTGGATATTGAAAATCCCCCTTCCATCCAAATTTCTCTCCTCTTCCTTCAACCTTCCCCAGCCTAGCAAAGATGCAATTTTTTCCATTTACATCAGCTGCAGTTTCTAGACTTGGACATTAACATTGGTAATACATAGGAACAATTAAGAGTATTGTCCTACTACAGACCCATTTTCCACTTGCAGATTGAATATAGTGTTTTTCCTCCTGCACATTTTAAAATTACAAGTAAATTCTCTCACTCCAGTGACATCTGTTTGATATTCTGAAAACGAACAGGCTTCTAGACTCGTGGTAGGCCATTAATGAAGCGTAAGACTTAAAAATTCCTTACCAATATAGCCTGCAATAAATGTGACTACCAGCTGTTCTGCTTTTGTACATTCACTTCGTGGCTTAGGAACGACGTATTTGTAGAGAGCTTCAACAGTACGCTCAAAGCAGGCAAATTTCATCATGGTGTATGGAATCTGTCTCATCCATAGTGGAGCAACACCTTTATAGAAACTTAACCAGAAAAGAGACAAACTCAGTTTCATTTTCTCCAGTATTTATGGTACATTCCTAACTTGAAAAAAATTAAGTTAGCTTATTGTTCCTATCAAGAATACAACTTCTAAATATGGACACTTAAGCCTTACAGTGCCCGAACACCTACAGAACAGAAATTTAAGTGTTATTAGTTCCCAAGTACTAACTCAAAACAGCAACACAAATTAGAATCTCCCTGATCCCTATGCTGCACAGCTGTTTTTGTAGTCGCTTTTCAACGCATTGCCGTAATGCCGCACTGACACTGCGAGTGCAGTAAGGCTCATGTCTGCATACCAGCCAAGTCCCGATAGTGATAAATGACTTGTATATTTACAGCCACTTCTATCAGAACAGAAAGCTAACATGCAGTTATATTACTCTTACATGCCAATGACTCAAGCATCTTTGACTGTACAACCAAAAAGTTGCTAAGTATCTCTGACTGGAACTGCTAGAAACTGAAGTTATCCAGCAGAACTCAGCACAAAGATACTCACAAAGATGGATCTAAGGAGCATGTGGAACTAACACCCAGTTCAGCACAGAGTCCCTGAAGTACATTAAGTTGTCATCTTGAAATACAAAGACCAGGAAGTACTATAAGCTAAAGCCACAATTCGTTTTAGCAACAGTTCTGCATTAGGAAAAAAAACTACTCGACATCAAGAACCTGAATAAAAATAAAAATTAAAATCAAGAGATACTTACGCCCAGATGCCTTCTTCTCCAAACATTTTAGGTACAGCCTGACGCAGAGTGTTAGCATATCCAGGCTGCGTCTGAATACGAACTTTAGCAGCTTCCATTGGAGCCAGAGCAATGTCAGCAAAAAACTCCGCACTGGCAGATGCAGCTAAATATAGCGAAGTACGCCACAAATACGCATTTTCCTAAAGTGAATTTGAACACATTTTCATTAATAAATCGTGCTTTTGTGATTTCTCTGCATTACTAATACTATTATGTTGCAGATATATAGCCTCATGTAAACCACTTAAGGCTTACCTCTCCCAGCATGTTGCCATATAGGATTTTGAAAACTTCATAGAAACCAAATTTACAAAGCCCCTGCATGGAATATCCAATAAAGGTTGGAGCCCATCCCTTAGCCAAGCCACGAACGCCATCTTCTTTGACTGTCACTGAAAATCCATTGAAGATGCTCTTGTACTTTTGTGGGTCAACCTAAACAAAATAGGCAGTTAATTGCTTGATTTTTTTTTTTCTCACATCCTCATCTGAAATATAAAATTCTTAAATTCCTCATACAGCTGGCTTCCTAAAGTTCCCTGGATGGACGATGTACTCACCACAAGGTTATACTAATGTGACTATAATGGCTGCTTGCTAGTCTCAAACCCTAACTTATTTTAACAGCCAGTATGTTCCTCAATACACAGGAACCATCAAACTGTCTGAATTTTGCTGTACATTCATCCTCCAAACCAACCATGTGACTTTCTGCAACAAGATTTACTGAAATCACTATTCTAACACTGTCAGTACTGGTATAATTTTGTTTAGATCCCATTCTTTAAAAATTTGATAGCTTCTGTCAGCAATCTCATCCACTCTACACGTCACACCTATGTACACCCACTGTCTCCACAAACCAAGCCTGATGATTCACCTGATTCTTAATCAGAAAAGGTTATTTGTCCACTCTTAGTCTGATCCCTCCACATAGTGAGACTAAGACAGATGGAGCAAAGCAGATCAAAGAGTACTCAAGAACTTCTACACCTGTACTTTTGACTTCACAGTAAAAGCTACATACAAATTATTTTCTGCACACAAAACTTTGAGTGAGATTTCATTAATAGCATATCGGAAATTTAAAAAAAAAAGACCAACTTGAATAATTTTTTCATGTAAACCATTTAACAGAAATTCTTAAACAGGTCATTCTGACAAATTTTAAGTCACATCACACTGACTTTTCATATTTGACATCATCCAACATTTCCTCAGAGGGTAAGAAGGAAGATACCTAATTTGAAGTCAACCAAAGGTTTCAGAAAGAGCTATGGGACATGCAGCACACCAACCTGCAGTGACACATATTCTGTCTTGCAGTCTGCCAACAACCTACTTGAGAACTAGTTCACCTAAACATGTCAATTTTAAAAGATTCAGAATTTCAGAAAAGTGGATATTTAAATCAGGCACTGTAAAATGAGACTATGTTCATGTCAGAACCGTGCTTAATTATCATCTACGTAAACCGTGACCTCTTCTTAAAAAGACATGAGAGGGCAGACAACAGGTTTTGTCCTGGAGAATCTAGGAAGGATTAGTAACCTGCTCTGCACTGGATCTATAAAGAGATAAATGCTGACAGGTTTTACAAGGTCACACCTGGAATCTTCCTCTTGCACTGGAGGAAGCAGGGGAAGTATCACCACCCTTACACATAAGAAGCCCAGGACTGGTAGCCCAAGACCAAGCAGTTGAAGCCTGGGAAGTACAAGGCCTCACTCCCAGCTGCATATGCAGCACTGTATAGCTCTCAGGCCTTCTGCCCATTAACCCGATTTGCAGTCAGATTAGGAACTCTTCAAGATGCTACATCCTCTTTACCCATGATCAATCTCCTTCTCAGGAAACTCAACCTTAGGCAAGCTACCCATCTTGGATTTTGAAGTCCATAACAAGAGTTTATGCACTTAAGCTACATTTTCAGAAATAAACCACACTCAGCTACAGCTATTCCCTACTAGTAGAAATAGGGAATTCCTACACAGTTAGCCTGGTCTCAATGGAAATTTTGTAGAAAGCAGCATGGTGCTCTCATTTGATGCATCCTGCATTTGTCCGATGTATTACAGAATTACTAATTTAAGACTAGAATTTCAGGTGCTCTGAAGTATGTGAGCAAGCCTCTCTTGTAAAGAATGCTAAATAATTCTGAAGACTATCATGTGCAGTAGTCCTGGTGTGACTAGTAGGTCCAACTAATTCATAGTTCCCTCCTATTTCAGGAGTTCTATCATTACAAAATCACCACTTTTATAATCAGTGTCAGCCTATGTAACAGGGAAGTCATTGACTACTATATTTCCACAAATTTAGACGCGTGCTTTAATTTGTTTCATTCTTGAGGCACAGGTTTGCCTGAATAAATCCATTAGCATGTTTTTATCCATGGCTGTTCACTAGATGATTTTAATGCGGAAGTTGGTATCACAAATTAAGTGCAATGTGACGAGAGTCCTTTCAGTTCAATCAGGAGCCACTTCAAGGAATCCAGCCGCCAGCACCGATGGCCTACCAATACCATATCGAGTTTTACCCATTCTATTCAAAGTGGCATCATTAGAAAGCAGCCAATCCATATGCCATGCATTGATATCCACAATGTTAATGGATCAAATTATATGTGCATGTCACTCCAGGCTTAAAACTGTAGATCTTCAAAACACCAAAAATACTATTTCCTTTCTCCAAAAGCACACGAATAGCGCTAGACAGCCTACCAGCCAGCAAAGAGTAACATTGTGGTGGGTGCCTTTTAGCAAACAGAGCCAGTTAAACGCGCCTTAAATGTAGTACAACATAATTCATCCTGAATGCCTCTGCTTCTCTTGAAAGTGATGTTTTGTTAGTCTCACAGCAGTACACTCCATAAAGCAGCATTCAAGTTTACTCACTTCCTGTCATCCAGAAAAGACTGTGTCCCTACTGTAAACTCTTAATATGCCAGCTACATAGATAAAAAGTTTAAGAAGTGTTTAAGTTAATACAAACCTGCATACGACATTTCACTAAATCCAGAGGTACAACAGCAGTGTGCGTCAGGCCACAACTTAGGACCCCACCAACGCCACAGAGAGCATAAAACTTGAGCGAGCCATATTCACAACTGTATTCTGCAGCAAAAAATAAAGACACACCATGCTTTTACATAAACTCCATGCACTGTTGGACAACGATGTCCTGGGGATAGTTTATGCCTCCAATTCATTAGTAGATTAAATATATCACACTAAACATGCTTTGTCAATGTCACCACATACCAACGTGCAGAACAAACCTGTATTCTGCATTTAACCAGGTCTAGAGGAACCAGTGCTGTATGTGTTGTTCCACAGCTAATAATCCCACCAAGGCCACAAAGCACAAAGAATCTGCCTGAGCCATATGCACAGCTGTATTCTAGTCAATTGAAAAAAATTTACAAATATATGATCAATCATAAATGGTAACAAAGATCAGAAAAGAAATAAAATTTACTGAGTGCTACCTCACTCAGGTACCTCACTTAACACCCCAAAGTATTAAACTGAAATAATTTCCCACGCTGTATTATTCAATTGTAGTGGTATACTCAAAATAATTCCCTTGCTTTAAGTTAGCACCTTTTGGATGATTTGATTCTAAGCCTTCCACATTGAGTTTGTTCCTTTAAAAAAATCAACGGAATAAACAGTTAAGTTTTAACTCACAGCACACTTAAACCATAGAAATTAATCCCAGAAGCTGCTAGTAGAAATTATGACTCAAAGCTGCAACAGTCAACATTTTCTTGTATCAAGGAATTAAGCAAGAACAGTATTTCTCTACTATTCTGGACATAAAGCTTCTTTGGTTAAATATTCTGTGATAGTGCAAATTCTGTATTTAAGTAGAGACCATATAGATCTACGAGAACCCTAACCCTTTCTTTATGCAGACATATTTTTCAGATTCTTTATATAGATTTTTTTTTTTTAGTTTCTTTTAAATACAGAATCTCAGATTTATACAGCTTCTGTTTAATAAAACCGCAGAGTGTTATTAATCATCATATTCAATGTTCAAAACCAAGGTTCATTAAAGAATCTTTCAGATCACATTTAATCAAGGGATACTTCATTTGCACTGTTCCATACAGTACGTGTGTATAAAACCATCCAGTCTTAAAAGAACAAGTTACTAGTTTTCACAAATTCCAACAGAGCAAAGTTACTGGAGCTGAAAACCAAGAATCGGTTTCCCTCTTCCATTTTTGAAGAAGCTACAGAGGGTGTGGTTACGTGCAATGAGAAAACACTCAAGTTCACAATTAACAGTACAAAATAAGCAGAAGGTAGCAGTATAGTTTTACTACTATGCTTAGCATTTTAAATATATAAGCAAGTGCAAAACTAATATACTGAATAAGCATATAGAAAACATTCCTCAGAGTCAAAAGGGATAATCTAGGATTTTTTTGCTATCAGTTCTAGTGGTGTTACTTCAATATAATGGAATAGACATCACAGTGTTACACCAACTCAGTCAGAACTGTCTCCAGAGAAACACTGATGAAAATCGAAAGACAGGAAAACCCCTATCTTATTCAGAGATTCTTTACCCTTTCTTTTTGCTTCTGAAATAAATTCCTTTACGAACATCAAATTATGTTCAAGAGCATCAACAGAGCACCAGTTAACACTAGCAGGCTCATCCAGCTCATAACTTTGCTATTATAAGTAAACTTCTTCCCCAAAGTGTTCCAGCTTTTACATTACATTTTACATTCACATTTCTCACCTTACTCTTCAAAATTAATCACCAAGACCAATAAAAATGTCCTTTTTTTCTTTATTCTAAAGTAACAAATACTGAATCACAGACAGCATATTAAGCTTAAACTTAAAGCCAGAAATCAGTTAACAGTCAGAATAATATATAACCAATGAGAATTTTTTTATTTGACATACTGCTCAAGACTGTAAATATACTGGTCCAGGACTTACACATACCTCTAAAATAGCTTGGTTATGATAGCAGATTTGCAGTCAGCAGTAACATTCTGTTTACAACTTTCCACAAGGGTTAAACAAACACAAGCAAGGCTTTTTATGCAGGTGTAATCAGAGAACAGACTCTGGTTCTCTATTACTGGGCAGCTTTGGTCTGCAGGACAACAGTACTGTGGTAGTTACCACACTGCCCAGATACCCAAAGTGTTCATTCACACTCCCTTTTTCACAAGAATTTACTGTTAGAAGTCATGCTCCTCAAGTGACAGAGAGAAGACACTTGTAGAAGCCACAGAAAAGTAGAGCTTTATGTATCTGCTTTGTTACAATGGTATTCAGACTGAGCTGTCGGCTAGTGTTCAAAAACAGTAATTAAGAAAAGCAAGCCAGTATCAATTAGGCTTGAGCTCTTTACAGGTACCCAAGTTCATAGTGGTATAGCAGTACTAGGACAATTAGCCACAGTAGATCCCAGACTTTCTATTTCAGAAGTAGAGTCAAATTTCCTAAAAAACCGTTGCCTGAAAAGAGAACCTGCTAAACATGTAGTACAGAGGGCAAGAAAGTTACTCTAACACACCTACACACTGACTTAGGACAAACACCCTGAAGCTACCTAAATATAAATAACAGAGTAAACATAGTTTTGTGCTGTATAAGACAGCTACATCATAACTGTTTCATTTTTCTACTTCTGATCTGACACATTAACAAGGACAAACTCCAGCAGCTGATCATAAAACACTTTGTCCCTGAGCTGTGTTATGGTTGATGCCCTGAGCTGAACTCAAAAGATCTTGTGGTTTGTACTGACTTTGTGTGACCTTGTATAAGCTCAGACAGCTTCTGCAACATGTTACTCTCCCAACACAAAGGCCAGAAAACCAACTAGTATGTGAAATAACGAACATGGCAGAAAAGACTACAAAGACTAAAAAACTCTGGTCACCTTTGACTACACCTGCCTACAAACAGGATGAAGATTAAGCATAATGCTTTTAAGAAAACAGTGCACCTAGTGAATGTATTTAGCATACCGAAGAGTGACTTAGGGCTTTAGTTAGCTAGCAACAAGATTACTACACTGAAAGCCAGAAGTACTTTCTCGAAAACTTAATAAAATCCAACACCGAATTCTGTTACACTTTCACATATTACATGAATGTTCATGCAAGAGCGCTAACATACTTCAATAATCATAGTTATTCAGAAGAGGTATCTTTCTGCAAGCACTTCTTACCTCATTTTTTTTAAAATTAAAGCAGATAGATGCTTTTAAATTATTAACAACTTAAAAGAATTAAAATTTTAACTTCTACCTCAGCTATCAGAAGTATCATCAAGGCCTGACCTTTAGAAGTCACAAAAGTGATCAGGAAACATACAGGAAGCACTTCCACTTAAATCTAAAATGCATCACTATCTCAGACACCACAGCTATCTGGTGTATGCCCCACAACTACAAAGCAGGAAAAAAGAAAGAAAAATAAAGAAAAAGAACAGAACAGCTGCAGGCACCTCAAATGTATCTGGATGTGCAAATGTCCAGCTACGAATAAAGGGGGGGGGGGATAAGAGGAAAAGAAAAAAAGGAAGGGAGAGATGGTCTTTCAAATTCATCCAGATTCACGTGCTGCTCCCCCCCATGGAAGAAAGAAGGACAGGCCTCCAGCCTCACTCCCGGATGCTGCAAGCCCAGCACAGCCAGAAAAAGCACTTTCTAATCCCCACGGCGGACTCCATCGGAGGTCTCTGCAATTACTCTGAATTGGAACCTTCCCGCGTCCCTTCCCGGTAC